CATCAGAGATGTTAGGAGGTCAGGGCGCTGATTTCCTGAGACGGGTTGCATTTTGGAGCATCGGATCTTCAGCTTTGCTGAGTGAGATGATTTTGCGTGACAGGTGCAGCACTTCGTATGACTTGGCAGCACTTTTTCGTGGCAGGCGCAGACAGGTGGACTGGAAAAATCGCAAAACGCATTGGTACGAGGCTGTCAGCTCCACACTCAAGTTTCCATTTTTGAAGGATGCCTCGCAGAATTCATCTGTTTCTGATGTTGTCAAATTCGCAAACTGAAGAAGTCTTGCTGAATTGTTCGTTTTGGATGTTGTCCAATTCAAAAATTGAAGAAGTTTCGCAGAATTGCTTCGTTTTTGATGTTGTCTTCTTCGAAAAATGAGGAAGTCTCGCAGAGTTGCTTCGTTTTTGATGTTGTCAAGTTCAAACATTGAGGAAGTCTCGCAGAATTGCTGCATTTTTGATGTTACTTTGCAAAATGAAGAAGTCTCGCAGAATAGCTTCGTTTTCAAGCTTGCAGATAGACAGGTAGATAGATAGACAGACAGACAGATAGATAGATAGATAGGTAGGTAGATAGATAGATCAGTAGGAAGGTAGTTAGATAATCAGAGAAAGAGGGAGAAACAGAGAGAAAAAGAGAGAAAAAGAGAGAAAAAGAGAGAAAGAGAGAGAGAGAAAGAGAGAGAAAGAGAGGAGACCTCAATCACATTTCGGTCCATCAGTGGCTTCCCTCTGCCATCCGTGATTCACACCAACCAATCTCTCCTATAGGTTTCCTATTTTTGAAACTTCCGCCGCCGCCTTGTGCGGTACTACTGGTATCCTGTATCAACAGTATATATACACTTGTCTGTTTCTAGTTCCCCCAATCTCCGCGGCCGACTCATGGATGAAGCCGGCTATCGAGGAGATAGATCGCCTCGAGGCCGCCGCCAGAGCATAGGAAAAGAATCGTTTGCAGGGTTTGTTGTGTGTTCAACGAGGGATTCCACTGGTTTCGACCCATATCGCTGTGTCTGAAAATGTGGGGGAAAATCACTAAATAAAGATATACATTGCATTCTCAGACAATGGGGAATATGAAGGAATGATGTGGTATTGGTACATATTAGCATGTTGATTTACATGCATGTGCGATTTTAGGGGCAGAAGACCATTTAGCACGCACTCGCCAACGACACCTGGAAGCTGTGGCGCAGATGTGTTCGCCTGAAAACAGGGGAGCTACCACCAGAAATTGTTATTGAGTCGTCAGAATGAGCTTTTTACTGGACATGTTTTTAAGTGTTCATCCATTTCTGTGCTGTTTCACGTTGTTTCCAATGGCTCCACTCTAGGCAATGAATTTTGTCCATCAGCTGCAGCTGTTGAAGCATCAATCATCGCGAAACACGGAGTTTTGAAGTGCGCACAAAACATCAGGAAAGTATGATGGATAGCACGGAAATGATATGTACCCCACTGGGTTTTGCGATATATACGTACATAAATACAATATGTGTGTGTGTTTATATATATATACCAGTAGTACCGCGCAAGGCGGTGGCGGAAGTCTCAAAAATAGGAAACCTATAGGATAGGTTGGTTGTTGTGAATCACGGATGGCAGAGCGAATCCACTGATGGACCGAAAGGTGGTTGAGGTCTCCTCTCTTTCTCTCTCCACTTTACATTCCGCACTTTACAGTCTACACCCCACACCCCACACTTTACACTCCACACTTTACACTCCGCACTCCACACTCTACACTTGACACGCCACACTTTACACTCCCCATTCCACACTTTACACTCCACACTTTAAATTCCACACCTTACACTCGACACTCTACACTCCACACTTTACACTTTACACTCTACACTGTGCACTCCTCACTCCACACATTACACTCCTCACTCCACACTCCACACTCTACACTCCACACTCTACACGCTCCACGCTCCACACTTTACACTCCACACTCTACACTCCACACTCCACACTCTACACTCCACACTCCACACTCGACACTTTACACACTTCTACGCTCCACACTCTACACTTCACACTTTACACTTTACACTCCACACTCTACACTCCACACTCTACACTCCACACTTTACACGCTCTACACTTTATTCTCCAGGCTTCACACTCTACACTCCGCACTTTACACTCCACACTCTACACCCCACACACCACACTCTACAGTTTACCCGCTGCACACTCCACACTTTACACTCCACACTCCTTACTTTACACCCCACACTCCACACTCCACCGCACTCCACCACACTCCGCCACACTCCACCACACTCCACTGCACCACACTCTACACTTTACACACTCCACACTCCTTACTTTACACTCCGCACGCCTTAGTTTACACCCCGCACTCCACACTCTACACTTTACACTCCACACTCCACTCTACACGCTCCACACTCCACACTCCACACTCTACACTTTACACACTCCACACTCCTTACTTTACACTCCGCACGCCTTACTTTACACTCCACACTCCACACTCTACACTTTACACTCCACACTCCACACTCTACACTGTCCGCTCCACACTCCACACTCTACACTTTACACTCCACACTCCACACTCTACACTTTACACTCCACACTTTACACTCTACACTTTATACTTTACACTCTACACTCCACACTTTGCACTTTACACTCTACACTGTGCACCCCACACTCTACACGTTACACTCTATACTTTACATTTTACACTCCACACTCTACACTTTACACTCCTTGCTCAGCGCTGTACACTCCACACTCCACACTGTACACTCCACACCCCACACTCCACACTCTACACTTACACTCTGCACTTTACACTCTACAGTTCACACTCTACACTTTACACTCCACACTCCACACTTTACACTCCACACTTTGCATTGTACACTCCACACTCCACACCTTACACTCTACACTGTGCACTCCACCCTCTTCCGCATTCCACAGTCTACAGTGCACTGGTACGGTAACAGGGGAAAATGTAGACTGTTGAAATAACTTGTTTCACAATAGTGTTCTTTGTGACTGCATTCGGGTTTGTGGGGTGCATCTTGTTTTTTTTTGTTTTTTATCTTCAAACCTGCATCACTTGTTCATCACTTTCAAGTTGGGCCACCAAGCAGACAAGAGGTGGAACGCACCAAAAAGGATAGCAAGAAAAGTAAGGACCCATGAGCTCGCAGATTGGTTCATCCTTCTTGAAGTATCCATGATTTGGTAGAGGCGGGGTGCCATCAAGTTGAAATCAAGTTGCAAAAGTTTATTGGTGTTTCCTGTATTCCTTACATTTGAAGGCGTTGCTTGGAGGTCTCCAGGGTGATTCTTTCTCAACCCATTTGCCCCAATTAGTGGATAACAACCAAACCTGGCGATTTTCCGAAAGCCTTTTGAATCTTTGGCGCGTTGCGCAACATTCATGTCAGGCTTCTGTTGCTGAGTTTCACCCTGCGCCTCAGCGCCCTGTACCCCGGCAGCGCCCCGTACCTTTGTTCGGAGCCCGAATGCTATGGGAATCTCATCCAGATGAAACCGATACTGTTCACTCCCCGCAACACTGCATGACTTGTGAACAAGTTGGATCATCTACGTATCTTGTCACATACCACACGTTGCAACTGCTGTCCTCGATTGCCATCCTTGGTCAGCAAAGGTTCTGCTGTTGCCGCCCCAGGCGCTGTCGAAATGCGGTTGAGCCGGGCTTCCTAGCTGAGCCGTCTGGAGGTGCCCAGTCAGCCGCATCCTGGACAGTGCAGCACCTCTTCGCCTGCGCCTGCATGTAGCAGAGGAGGAGGTCCTAGCTGCCGGAAAGGCGCTTCGGCGGGCGAGCCTTGTCACACGGGATGCGGAGGTGTGGGAATCTGGTGTCCTTTTTGATCCTTTTCGATCCTGTTTTTGCCAATTTGCATTTTACTGTATCAAGAAGTTTCTCATGTAGCCACATGGGTGAAAATTGTCGGGCGGAAACAAGCAACACATTGGTGGACCCCCAGTTTCTGAATTTTCAATCTGATCCTTCAATGTGCCTTTGGCATTTTTCCCCAAACAGTATGGCTACACTGAGGGGTTGTTTAATGTTGGATGCCGATTTGTGGTCGGGTACCCTATTGTGAGTTTTTTTTCTAAATAAATCAGTATCCTGCCAGTTGTGAGGGTGGTCCTCTTTTGTCAGAAGTTTTTTCTCAGGTCCAATTTTTTTCATTAGCTTTATCCACCTTTATCCACCTTTCTTTGTGTAAAGCTGGTCCATTTGCTTTAGAAAACCATATCCATGTTAAAGCCTTCAAAACGCAAGGCTTCCCAAATAATTGGATGCTGTATGAAACCTTTATTCAAAAAACAGCACCCAAACAAAATTCAAGGGGGTACCCCTTGAGTGACCGAGATCCTCAATAATGTGATTGTTTGGATGGTACCCTATTTTGCACAAAAACCTGGTGCCGGGCATCTGAGGAGGCCCACGCTGTTGTCACTTTTCAAACATTTTACAGGGGTGGACCACAAAACGCTGAAAAACGAAACTTTAGCATCAGGAGCAATTTCATCATCATCATCATCATCATTATCATCATCATCATCATCCTCATCTGCATGTTGATCATTCTGGAGAGTGCATGAGAACGTACAGCAGCGTAGCATGACGTATGTGTGCAAGTGCATGAGAACGTACAGCAGCGTAGCATGACGTATGTGTGCAAGTGCATGAGAACGTACAGCAGCGTAGCATGACGTATGTGTGCAAGTGCATGAGAACGTACAGCAGCGTAGCATGACGTATGTGTGCAAGTGCATGAGAACGTACAGCAGCGTAGCATGACGTATGTGTGCAAGTGCATGAGAACGTACAGCAGCGTAGCATGACGTATGTGTGCAAGTGCATGAGAACGTACAGCAGCGTAGCATGACGTATGTGTGCAAGTGCATGAGAACGTACAGCAGCGTAGCATGACGTATGTGTGCAAGTGCATGAGAACGTACAGCGGCGTAGCATGACGTATGTGTGCAAGTGCATGAGAACGTACAGCAGCGTAGCATGACGTATGTGTGCAAGTGCATGAGAACGTACAGCAGCGTAGCATGACGTATGTGTGCAAGTGCATGAGAACGTACAGCAGCGTAGCATATGCAAGTGCATGAGAACAACAGCGTAGCATGACCTCCCACCCCACCCACCCCACCCCACCCCACCAACCCACCCCCCCCACCCCCCCCACCCCCCCTCGTCTATGATGTTGTTTTTAGTGTAATGTCAAAAACTGACAACAGCGGGGGCCTCCTCAGATGCCCGGCACCAAAAACTTGTGGGGTAAAAAAAACACAAAACTTGTATGCTGTATCATTAGTATATCTACGCTTGTATGTTTCTAGTTTCCCCAATCTCCGCGGCCGACTCAAGGATGAAGCCGGCTATCGAGGAGATAGATCGCCTCGAAGCCGGCGCCAGGGCATAGGAAAAGAATCGTTTGCAGGATTGTCAAGTTGCTGTGAAGAAAGAAACAGTTCGTTGCAATGTTTGGCCTCTAAACGATAGCGTTCAGTTGGCGAACATAACTCCAATAACTATGGTTGATTCTACTGATAACTATAGTATTCATAGGGGGTTATAAACCAACATACAATTGGGCCCCACATTGGAGCTAAGTTGGTGGACACAACTCCAATAACTCTCAAGAACTCGGATTAAAGGTTTGACCCACGGATACGTCTCATGTTTCCCCACACGCGCAAATGACAGCTCCACTGGATAGGACAAGCCAGATCGCTGGAAGATCTTGGACACATCCCGTTCCTAAGTTCTGGATTGGTATTGAAACTCATGACTCATGACTGAAGATATACCATGTATACGTGCACAGCGTGTTTAAGAATATATATATATAGCTATATGGGCATGGTGTGGAAAAACGCGATCTCTTTTCAAAATTGATCTCTTTTCAAAATTGGGCTGGCAAGGTTTCATGTTGCTTTGCATGGTTGGTCAAGTGTATGTTTTAGCAGGATGATCAAAATTAGGATCCCAGACCCACTATGGATATTAAAACAAACCAAGATTTGATTAAACCGTTGGGGCAGCGCCTTTAAACGAGCAAGACCCAAATTGATCCAGAATACATTCAGCACTTGTGGTTCATTTATGTATGCATCGCATGGTGTATATACCCTATATTTCAGAATATGTTTTCAAAACTATGGAAGATTAAGTATTAAGACAACATTCACAGTAGTTAAGCTTTAATATTCATACAGTTCAGTAGTCCCATTTTTCTGTTTGGTCATCAAAATGGATACTGGATGATATTGATGTTACGTGTTAATATCTTGATCATCTTGGTCATCCCACTGGTGGATCCATAGATCAATCCATGTGAAGGTAAACAACAACAATAATCCAAGATAAATACTTTAAATTTGAAATATATGTTAATTTATAATAATCTATATATTATATATCTTAAGATTGATCGACCTTCACAACACCACACCGAGAATCTTCAGCCAAGAGACCTGGCAAGAAGGCAGAGGGACCGCCAGATTGGTTTATATCATGTAAAAAACATGTAAAGACCAATGAATATATGATATGTTTCATCATAACTCATCATATTTTATCACACACCCATGATTTTGTGAAAACCCAGGGTTTCGATCCAAAACCCCGGTTTTGCATTGATCATGTTTTGAAACCCAGGGTATTTCCTTATACTATGATTTTTCACGGTTGTGGAAGTATAAGGTATATATATACATGTATGGATCAAGACCTATTCTACCACACGTGGCTTCATTTGGGGGAATGAACATCCATGAATCCCAGTATTTGGTGTTCAACGAGGGATTCCACTGGTTTTGACCCATATCGCTGTGTCTGAAAATGTGGGGGAAAAGCACTAAATAGAAACATACATTGCGTTCTAAGACAATGGGGGAATATGAAGAAGTGATGTGGTATTGGTACATATTAGCATGTTGATTTACATGCATGTGCGATTTTAGGGGCAGAAGACCATTTAGCACGCACTTGCCAACGACATCTGGAAGCTGTGGCTCAGAGTTGGTCTCAATACATGCTATGGTTGGTCATCTCCAAGTGCATGGAGCATATTTGCATTGTTGGTGGTTATCTCCAAATGTTTGCAATGGTTGCCGGTCTAATTCCACTAAAATCAGGGTATGTGTATATATATATAATATATACACGTTGTATTTATGTACTTATACATCGCAAAACCCAGTGGGGTACATATCATTTCTGTACTATCCACCATACTTTCCTGATGTTTTGTGCGCACTTCAAAACTCCGTGTTTCGCGATGCTTGATGCTTCAACAGCTGCAGCTGATGGACAAAATTCATTGCCTAAAGTGGAGCCATTGGAAACAACGTGAAACAGCACAGAAATGGATGAACACTTAAAGACATGTACAGTAAAAAGATCATTCTGACGACTCAATAGCAATTTCTGGTGGTAGCTCGTGCCATT